TATACTGGTATGTAAATGGAATAAATATATGATCTTAATTTCAAACATGTTTTGTCCAAATGAACAACTTTGCATGGACACTGGATTGTCTTTAACTCAGTTACTGAAGTTTTGATAGTTGAGAAGGGGAGCAAAATCACCCCCCCCCCCCATAAGATGGCCCCCAACATGGCTCTTTTGGGGGTTAATGATAAATTTCAGATTTTATTTGCACAAAATTGGGGCACGTTCTGTGATATTTGGCCACATTTGTAGATTAAGTATAAGGGGTTGCTCAAGGTAACCAAAATTCTATCCATTTTGTTTTGACTCCCTTATTTGTTTAAGAAAGTTTGTGAGCATTGGGATGCTATTCAGCATGATATTTTAAAGTAAAACAGGTTAACAATGCAACGTGGACACACCATTTTTACCACATTTGGTTAATATTTGAAAGTTTCATGCACACCTTTTCCCCGATGAATAGCCGAGAACACAACAAGCCATTCCAAAGTTGTACTTTTGAAATTTCTAAGAAATTAACAGATTTCTGAGGTTAGCACTAAGGCTTCACATAAACTTTTCCAACTACATGTTAGGAATGGTCAGAAATATTCTCAGTTAATACTTGGGGAAAAAAAACCTGGTGCAACAAAGTTACAGTACTTACTTAATATGGCAAAAATGTGGTGTCCATATTACATTTTTAACCCATTAAACCATTTATACTGAAAAACATCCTAATACTCCAAATCCTTTATTAACAACAGGAAGAGTTACAATCCAAATGAATAAGTTAGTTACACTGGGTGACCCTGTACACCTGTCTCAAAATGTGTTCAAATCTTACAAGTGCTTATCCCAACTTCCTGGAAAGACACACCTGCAAAAAGGACAAGTGTCCCTTTGACAACTTTCCGGAATCATTCAACACTATTGGTAAGAACTTGGTGTATTTTTTTAAACAAAGGACAAGTCAGATAATGCAAGTCTTAATGGATGTGAGTGAAATGCTTCCCTTGGCTGACCACTAGCTTGTGCTTGCATTTGTATGAAATGTTATTATATGAACTTTTAAAACCTTTCTCTAGTTTTATTAGCAGGGGAATGGGTGGGACTACTGGTTTAGTTAAGAATAATTAAAGTTTTATTTTGATCACATAAAACGAAGGATAAATGTAAGCTTAAAAATGACAGCAGAGAATGAAGCACTGATTTTAAACTGATTGTCGATTTCAAGGAAAAAGGTTATAAGAATAAGTTGTGCAGAAAGAAGATAACTGTCAGAAGACATGTGACCTGTATGGTTATCATTCAGCAATAAATTATTCAACTCCTCATTGCTTTCGGGCATATATGTACGTGTGGTTTGACAGAAAAAATGTACATGTCAACTATGCTAGAATGACGAGATGTCACCTAAATATTCACAACAGTTTTCAATGAAGGCTTTCTGCCTCATAGTTTGACTGGAGCATGCCTACAATTAATGCATTTATCCTGCCCTTAGGACTGTGATTGAATGGGTTAGAAATCTGCAAGATCAATGGTATTAATTTAGCTTGGTGACAACATGATTTTGTGTACATTGTACTTGTTTAACAAAAGGCTTCATTTCAGGACATACCAAGTGATGGGTACCAACGAAGAGCTCACTGCACTCTAAGAACTGACTGAACGGGATGTGTCTCAACTTTGTAATTTGTACTTTACATCTTCAACGCTGTGATTATGTGGTCCATTTGTGTAACTATACAGGGCGTCTTAAAAAAGATTACCATCTCTTAATGTAAATTATCAGAACTGTACTGAATATTTAAGAAAGAGGCAACTACAAGGAAAAATCCAGGATGTCATTGAAGACTGAGCAAACACGGCCTCTATGAAAGTCAAAATCAGCACTGTGACAAGTTAGTACATGTACACAATGGAAAAGTGGTGATACGGACAATGATTAGATGCTTCATTGAAGAAATGCAATGAGACGATCTTTCTGATCACTCAATCTTTTAATTCATTTTTGTGGTAGGAGTGTCACACCCATGAGTTCACACCTTTTCACCTCTCTCTTCTTCATTCAACTACGTATCTGTTTTTTCCCTAAATCGCTCACCTTCATCCTCATCCCGCACAGCGCCTAATGCCATCTACGACAGCACTGACTGGGCTACTGCCCTTCACCCTGCAGCTCCAATCATGGTATTTGGTAACTTCAATGTCCAAGACAAGGATTGGTTGATACAACCACGCAATACTGATATCCCTGGCACTGGGGCTTCATTTTTCATGATCTTATTCAGATAAAATCATCACAACTATCTTGGATCGTGATTTTGATGGGAGACACTTGCTCGACCTCTTCTTGTGGTCAACCCTGATTATTGTGTTGCCAACATCTTTCCTCCTGATCATGCTGATCTCCATGCTAAAGACTCCACTCTCTACTGTGCTTCCCCCAACTCCTCTTACACTTTTTGCAATGATGTCGGGGTACAACGTCATCATGATATGAAGAATGGGTTGAAGTGGGGAAGGAAGAAATGGTAACCTTCAATGCTAAGAAATGAAATTACCGTCTCCATCTCACTATAGAGACAATACGTATCCATAGGGTCCATTGAAGGTATTGACCTCCTGATGCTATCCTGTATAAGACAACCGTTCGACCCCTTATGGAGCACTGCTGTCACATCTTGGCTGGAGCTTCTGCCTGTCACTTATCTTTACTGAACAGAGTGCAGAAGCGTATATAGTTAATCTGGTTAGTGAATAGTTGGGCTCATTACAGCCGCTTTCCACCGTAGGTCTGTTGCCACCCTCTGTTTTACAGATATTGTCATGGTCATTGCTCCATTAGTCTATCCAACCTGGTTCGGCCAATCAGAGTGTTTAAGAGAATCACTTGGCTTTCTGCATGTTCTCATCCATATACTGTTGCAGCACCTACCGGGTAGATGTGAAACAAAAGGATATTCCAATAGCTTTTTCCCACGTGCTGCATCTCTTTGGAATTCCTTGCCTGGCGCTCGTATCCCTCCAACCTACAATCTGTCCTGTTCAAGAGGAATGTTAATTCCTACCTTCAGTTTTCCTGAGTACCTACTCTTCTTTTAATTTCTCTTGTAGCCCTGTAACTGGGCTTGTTTTTGGCCTTGTTTAGGGTGAATATCACAACGTTGCCTCATGTCTCTGAAAGCACGTCTTATAATATATTTCCTTGTCTTGGCGCTGATTCGCCTAATCCACTATCCCAGTTCATACTCTTGAATGTTAGCTTGGGCATGGTGAAAACCTTATCTTTCAAGTGACCCAACAACAAAAAGACACAAGGAGTGAGATCTGGTGATCTTGGGGCCATTCAACTCTGTGAAATAACGAAATCACCCCGTCACCAACAGCTCTGCCAAGCGATGCCTCAAGTATGTGAGGCAGGGTTCCTTCCTAAACTTATCACACCCATCTGAAAGCTGTATGTCACCGTCTTGGGAAGATCAGCTTCATATGTGGTACCGTACCATAAAGTCAATGATCATATCCAGATAGCCTACATTTGGTGGACCTGGCCTATCATATATTCCTAAGTAACATAATAATACATCTGTCTGCCCTTTGCCACCCAGGTAAAAACTTGTCACAGTGCTGATTTTGACCTTTTCCATAGAGGCCTATTTGCTCAGTCATCCTGACAATGACGTAATGCAATTAGTATTATTGGATAGAGGACATCCTGTAATTCATCGTAATTCCTAGCAAGCTACCTCTTTCTAAATATTCAGTACATTTCTGATAATTTACAATCAAAGGATGGGTATACTTTCTTGGAGACACCCTGTACAGTACCTAATACAGTACTAGCAAAATTCAATCAAGGGCTGTTCATTTTCAAATTAAGTAGTTTTCAATTATTCTAAGTTGGACTTGATCAAATTTTGAATATCGAAATGCACTGATCAAGTGGTCTAGTGGTTAGTGTTTGTGACTCATGATCAGAGGGTCAGGGGTTCGAATCCTGCCGCTGGCCATATGTTGTGTCCTTGGGCAAGCTACTTCATCCTCACTTGCCTCTCTCCACCCAGGAGTATAAATGGGTACTGACATAAGCTGGGGAGTAACCTGTGATGGACTAGCATCCCATCCTGGGGGAACAGAAATATTCGCAGTCGTTTCATGTTACAGAAACCGGAGATAAACGCCGGCCTGATGGGCCACATTGGCTCATGACAGACTTTACTCACTGATCAGATTTAACATTCGCCATGCTTAAACGGCTGCTGTTCAGGATTTGCTCACAGTTTGTGAATATTTGCATTGAAAAAGAAAATGCTATTCATATATCTGGTTGAGAATGGAAAAGTGGGTATATTGGTCACATGACAGCTTACACTATCAGCTTAAAAGGTGCAAAATGCTCTTCACTGAATAAATGTAGCTTCCTTGTAAAGAAATCTTGATGTTGGAACAGAATTGGATCAAACTTCTCTTTAATATGTTAATTGTACACAAGTGAAATCTGCTTGAGAATTAGCTGCTCACTCGTTTTATCATCATTCGATGTGGTTTCAATCTCTCACTCCACTTGTTAGCACAAGTGGACAGAATCTACAAAAAAACTACAATTTGTTTTCAAACCATTTCTGTTTTATGATTAGTAACAGCACAGCATAAACAAGTGCACCGGAAAACGATCAACATATATAATATTACTGCTTGTGTAACTAAAACCAACCCTGATCACACTGAAGGTTGACTGCACCAGCAGACAACCAACAGATAGACTCGGAGTGGGCATGATAAAGATATGACCCCATTATAAACACACACACACAAACACCCACACCAAATCATAAAGTGATTTTGAAGACAGCAACAGAAAAGTAGCAAGAATACATGATATACTCATTGAGCATAGAGATGTGCATGATCACTGAAGCAGCAAGCATGCATGAAAGCATGATGATCTGGCACCTCCATGTGGCTTCATGACATGCACAACTCAGCACAATTGAGTCACGGCTACTAACCAGTTGGCCGGCAAGTAGCGGCATGTACTCAATAATTGCCAGTCGTACACGCCATTTAGTATCTTCAGCAAGTTCCACTATGGCAGGTAGTAATGACTGTGATAACTGTTTGATACCAATAACATTGTTGACACAGTCCAGGTTGCTAATGATGTTGAGACGGACCTCAGGGCATTCATCCTTCAACTGAGCCAGGAATAGGGGAAGCAGATGGTCGATAGTTCTGCAAGTGAACAAACCACTTTATCATTGGGAATTCATCTAATGATATCAAAACATCATCATTTTCATTTCAGTCTTGAACCTTTTAAATTTTTCAATTTTCATCTGTGAATGCATTAAGATTTAAACACACATACCCACTGCCACTTAAAGCTGATCAACACCATTTGCTAACATTCAAAAAGGAAATGTTCTACTGGACTGTATGTAAATAATAGCATCTAGCATCCTGTGAAATTGTTGTGCCTAGTATGCCGTCATTTCCTACAACAGAGGAAATATTGTTTCCTTGTGAGAAAAAAATGGCTGCTCCCAATTCATCAAATTTAATATATTTATTTTGCAATCGCTCACATATCTGTGATGAGATTATTTCTCAGGAATGACAAACTTGGGATCATACCAAGAGAGGGTGCCAGTCCAACCATATTTTGGACAGGAGAGGGTTATAGACCTTTATCCTGCCACCATTTCAGTCATGTTCCCTGTATCCAATAACATCATTGAATGATAAAAGGAACCAGCCGTGCTTTGGTTACGTTGATTTGAATGGAACAAATTGAAATGGTCACAACATGATAATGGTCTATTGACGGAAACCTGGCTTTGAGTTGAGAAAACCTGAGATGCATTTTCATAGTTATCTCCACGGTCTGCATAATGCAGTGATGAGGCGATTGTCAATGGGAAGGGCCGATATCATCTAATCGGTGCATGTTGCGAAGTTCATGTTTGGATTATGAATTCAAAATAATTATTTCTGTGGTTTGGGCTAGAATGATAGCTGGACAGTTTTGGAAGTTCATGTTTTTAAGTTTGGATTTGGTTCAATCAGGTTATGAAAAGGGGATATGAACGTATTAACTTTGAGACCTTTTTTCATTGGCGCGGGAATCGTTTTGGGGTAATAGGCCTAAAGGGTTGGTGGAAAATTGTTGATCTGGTGTGTTTCATTCTTTATATTTATTTACCAATATGCGAATCTCTTTTTTTTAACTGAAAAAAAAGCCATAAATTTGGATTTGTTGGGTTGACTTGATTCATTGAAACCTTGAAGAAGCAGCGTGTCCACGTAAATCTCGTCGTTCATGTCAGCTTGGGTGCAGAAGTTGTCACGTACTCGGTGATTGTTCCCAGCATGTGGTTTCTTCTGTTGCTGTCTGTGCGTCATTGTACCATAATATCATCAGCACGTTTTCACAGGCCTTTGTTGGTAACCACAGCGCACAATTAGTGAATGTACTGCAGTATCGGCAAGATTAAACAACTGACTTAAACCCATTCATGACTGTACCGGTAATTATGCTGCTTTCAGTAATAATTAGGTTTGAAAGAAAATTTGAAAAATGTGAAGTAAAGCTTTGTGGTTTTATTTTTTGTGTGCAATAAATGGGTCGCTATCAATGCTTTTATACGCAACAGGGTCGCCAAAACCTTTCGTTGGAACAGAAATTTCATACTGTCCGATTTCGTCTTAAGCGAATTTCTCCCCCTAGAAATGTGCACAATTTTGCTGGGACTGAAAATATGTGTTTGTTTTCGAAAAATCGGGAGCCAACTGTATAGACGAAGTATGTGCAATTGAAGATGTAGTGAAAATACGTGTGTGCTAAACCGTACCACAAGAAACAAAGACAAGCTTCAGTAGTTTCAGTGGTTTATACCCTATGTACTAGTTCTAATTTGCATTTTATGAATGAAGAAATGAACCATTTTCTTCAAAGGGTGGTGCAAACCGTATTACTAGGGACAATAATACAAGGTGAGTCTTGATGACGAGGACGAAATACAATATGAAAACGGAGGCTTAAACGTTGACGCAAAAATATTGTCTACTCTCTCGTATGTATCCACCCTATGCATACATCAGGGTTCTCCCCATGTACAAACGTGTGTATCAGCCCGATACGCTGGAATTGTAGCCCGACACGCAGGCAAAATTGCCGATCGCATTTTTCAGCCGCCAATACGCACAATATAATGATTACACATGCCATTTGTGCACAATATAATCGTTGCACACGCAATTATTTCATCTCGCTATGCAAAATCTTGACGATCCTATATTTCAGACGTATGTATGATCAAAACACGACACCAAAGCCATGCCGCTATACGAGTTCCATGCGGCAGTGCCCACTAGCCAGCTAGGCCATGTGCCATTGCCATTCACTGGTTACCACCGCGTGGTAACAGAATCAAAGCTATGACCGGAACCAGTGACAATGGCCTACATAGTTATTGCATACACACACATAGCGTAACTGGTCAAATTTAAATCGTAAAAAATAGCTAACAAACATCGATGGAGAAAGGGAGTTTCTGCGAATTAAAATCCCAGAATGTGATTTCTCTTTTCTGTGTGTATGTATTTTTAATTTTTATAACAAGGTTTTACCGCATGTTACTTGAAGCGGAACAGCCATGTGATTCCGCAAATTTGTTGGTAGTCATCGGTCACAGCACGTGAGTCGCTGCACAGTGCACGTATGTACAATGAAACTGCGCTGTGTGTGCGATGTGATATATGGCCGGTGCTTGCCAGCTATGACCATCGTGAATTTCCGACCATTGAGAGCATGGTGGTGAGGACGACTTAAATTCTCGATCTCACTATTATTATTTTTAAGAATCATCCACATTGAACATAGTTTTACATTCGTTTTTTTTTTCATTGTTTTGCATATTACATTTAATCCATACTTTTCCAGTTCAGGAAGTTAAAAAACTTAACATGTTTGTGAAATGTTGATTCTTTTTTTAAATACTTTTTTTGGGTATCAATCTCCTCTGAATTTTAAGAAAAAAATCCAGCTTAAAGACCCCAGATTTGCTTTAATGAAAATGAAAATATATATACTTCAAGTTTATTTTTAAAAACGTGTCCGTCCCAAGAGACATTTCAGTCTCCTGTTTAAGTTGAAGTTTTTACCCAATGACCACCACAAAATTATTTCATAAATGTTCATGCTTGAACAAGTGATCAAGTTCCACGATTCCACACGGATGTTTTAGGAAGTGGGTGGTCACTTCTTGGCACAATACTTCTCTTTCACGTCATGTGATTTTTTCTTTTGTTCAGGATGGTCACCAACTACCACAAATCTGTCAGGATTACACCGCATAACTGCCAAAGCCATTGAAGTGGTTTGATAGATTGGTTGACCCATAGAGAAAGGACAGGTTGTAAAGCAGCCATTTTAACCTGTCAAATGTACCAACATGATGCCAGCTTACCGACCTGTTCAAAATTGTAGCCTGATAGGTTTTGATAGATAGGGTTACCAGTGACAAATTGTGACTGAGTGTAGAGTATATCTGCTTGAGTTTACATTCAGCATACATAAACTTTGCTGTCCAATTGATTGACATTGACAGCAATTCATTAACTTTAATCTCAAAAAATCAAGATTACTTTTGTGTTTTCAATCATTATGACCCCCCCCCCCCCCCGTCAATCACAACTTTTGTAAGTGTTAATACAGTTTTTACCACATACAGACTGTTCCTTATTTCCTTAAAAAAGTGTTATATCTTACAAAATAAAGTACCGTACCAAACACTTGAAAATGAGTGGAATTGTGATGCTCTCACTACAGAAAGGCTGGACAGTAATATATACAATATCGCAACTTACTTATCTTTGCCCAGTATTGGAGACAAGCCCATGATGACAGATGCCAAAGCACTCTTGACATGTTGGTTTGCATCAGACACCAACTCCTGCCGAGGAAAGTTTCAAAGCTTAATATTCAATTTGAGTATGCATAAAGCCAAAAAATAAACAAATGTTTTGTTGCCCTCACATGAAAAATTTCAGGAGGGTCAGTCGGTCAGGGACATTTGGGGGGGGGGGGGGGGGGGAGGGGGGTATACAAAGTACACATACAGTCACAGACAACAGTAAGAAGCAAAACCCAAGGTCACCCAACACAGTGATAGGTTCCGGCAAAACAGTTTGTAAGGGCCCTTGATGCAACAGCGAGACAAAAATATCCGACGAAACAACTTTGGGGTGCCTTGTGTTGTACTTATGGAATAATTTGGCAAAATCGCCATTTAATAGATATATTTGCAATGCAAGTTGTTTTATTCTCAACATCGCTGTCATGGACCAGACAGACACTGCGTAGCCGTCCATCTTGGCTATCGTGTTTGCACATGCACACAAGCGGTACAATGTAACATCTGGCCAAGGGCACAAAGTGAATCGTGGGTACCAGCAAAGCATATTTTTAAAAAAGGATTTCTTTAGAAGATTGGTTTTCATCACTACTGTTATATTCTTGTTAAATTTTTTTGATTGTTTAATTTTCCATTCAACGTGTCCTACTGTCATGAAGCTTACGCGGCAACTTTGATCAATATTTTGTCAAGGATTCCATTCAGCTACCAGTTCCCAACATACATGTACACGAAACGTTTTTTCAGGCTATGTGTACTGCATGCACCAATCCAGTATTCTGTGTACGTACATGTACACAATGTGCATTGAAGATATGATGCGTGCAGTAAGTGTACATATACACCACATGCTCCAGGTCTCTACCTCCATTACACCATCCATCAAAACACGGAAAATTTGAACTGTACTGCCATTTAGGTATGTATGTTTTTAACGAAATGCAAAATTAAGGCATTTAAAAAAAAAGCCGACCAGAGATTTCCAGATTTTAGGGTCGATTGGGTGAGGGCAACAAAACAATATTTTTGGGGCCTAATTTTTGGTTGGAAACACCACTGCAACTGAAACTAAAAAACTAGAGGTTCACGTTTGTTGAGTTACAAACGCAGAGTGGTTGGGCTGACATCTATTTCATATGTCATAATCTTTGCCACAATATAAATCAACTGAAAATAATTTAAACATTTTTCAAACTGCAGATAGAGGGCGCTCTAACATTTTATGACGTCACTGGTATTATTTTTGTAAAGCCCAACCTAGCCAGAGACTTACATCGTTGAAAGCAAGTTCAGATCTTTTTCCAATTTCAAATTACAAGGCACTTTAGGTTTTGACCGGAAGGAGGGTCACGTAATATAAAAAAAATTAAGACCCTGGAATATTGTATCAATTCCTGTAAAAAAACAAAATCAGATCTCTCACCGTTGATTTTATATTCATTTTCAAAGATTAATCATGTGGTCTCAACATATACCGGTATGCACGCCTATGCTACTGAATTGTACATTCATCAAGTACAATTGTTTAAAAATCTAATAGCTCATATTTTAAAAGTAAAGGTTGCACACCATTGGCGCAATACATAATATTGCTCGCAATACCTTCTTTACCCAAGTGCACATGTTTTTAGGAAAAAATGCCCAATTAAAAAAAAAAATCACCCAAATGGGCACTTTTGCCAGCCCAACAAACAAATGTGCTTCCGTTAACAAGTTGTCATATAACGTGTACAAAACACTAGTAAACACTTAAGAATACATTGCACACCAGTTAAAGTTATGTACCGCCCTCTCAGTTTTGGCGAGCATAAACTATGAGTCAGGGGAGTTCCCGAATGAGCAATATTCTCGGGAATTTCCCTACTATTACACATGCACAATGCAATCCACGTACGTGCCTTGCAACCATCTTTAAGGCTTGGGGCTGTGAGCCTTATATTTCAAGGGTGCTGAGGGGCATGTCCAAGTTCACTTATTGCCAAGAGACACAGGGAAGTTTGAGACCTACTTTCACATTAAGATTTAACCCTAAAAGGGCTGGGGGCCCTAAACTTTTTCTGCGATAGCCTTGCAGCTTATTTGTGTGTAATATGCACCACTCCGGATGAGGGCCGATATATGTTGAAAGTTACAATTTCATACCATAAACCGTTTAGGAGAAACCCGCGGGGAAGTATTGTCGGGAAAAAAATGAAAGAAAGACGGAAGAACAATTCTAAACAACGGTCGGGTTGTGCCTGACCACTCAAAACTTATGGGAACACAACAGTATGCTACATTTCCAAATGTCAAAATGCATTGAATTTCAGAAAAGTGACCAATTCAAGATTTGGATGCCTTAAATGCACCTAGGCATGCAAATTTTCTATTGATCTGCTGTTTTTGCTTTTTTCTTTAAAAATCCAGCCATGAAACAAACAAACAAATATATTACTGTGCTTCTGGTTCGTTTCATGCTGTGGTGCCTGCAGAATTGGCTCTGGGTTTTATAAACAGTAAACTCCGGCTAAACTGACATCGTATAAACCGTCATATCGCTTAAATTGGCCGTCTGACGAAAGTCCCGATTGTCTCTAATGCATTTCCATTGACATTTTCATTTCTAAGTCGGCCTTTGTAAGCCGCCATTTTGCCTATGTCGGCGTGTTACTTTCAGTCCCATTTCCTCAAAACCACAAAAATTCCTCTGTATAAGTCGGCATCATGCTCTGCGGTTTGTGTCACTGTGTCGAGTGAAAAGTCCCACACACAGCTAACTGACAACTGTTTATCAATGGCACGGCCCGTGATTGATGCATCGGCCAGCACGCGTACACTAATCGCACGTGTACACTAATCGCACGTGTACACTCTTTCATGCACAGTCTGTAAATTGTGTGCATCGTTCGCTTACACGTGCGCGATCAAAAAGGGGTTTTCCCGATAGCACATCAATACCAGTACCCCCTATCGACTGCACGCATGCGCTCTGTTCATTTTAGGGGTCCCCTTATTGTATCAGTACCATGCACAGTTGCACACATGTAATTTGTGACTGTACACGTACATACATGCACAATGTACACTACATGTACATGTTCATGGTCGTACAGTATACAAGCGATATGTCATACAACTGTTAACGCTAGCCGACCGCGCCGTCCTTGCTTCGTATGTACGTACATGTACATGCATGACTTTCTGTGATCAATACCACAGCCTGTTTGTGATGATAAACATTGAGGATATATTTGCTTGAATCAACCGTGGATGTAGAAATAAACCAGGGTAAATCAAAGCCTTTGAATTTTAGCCATGAATCTCATTTGCCATTAATTCAATCTATTTTTTTCACTCCGTGATTCAATTTGTGTATTTGTGTAAGTCAGCAAAATGACAACTTGCAGCAGAAGCCGACATTCGCGTAAGTCGCCACAAATTCTCTGGTCCCGAGAGTGCCGTCTTAGCCGGAGTTTACTGTATATGTACAGTGTATATACACGGCATAAAAATGTGCAGACTCTTTGTGCATTTATAGTCTGGCCAATGTGAGAGTGTATCACAGGTGCAGATAAAGACACTACTGCATGTGTAGGACTCGTTGGAAAAATGTGTCTGGATTATGCAATTTGAAACCGTTGCTGGTGTCTCAAAATTACATCAACATGATACCTTTTTAGAATTACAAGAATTTTAGAAGGGCGCTGTTGTAGCTGCTGCCTCAAAAAATTATGTCTCCCGTTTTATGTAGCTTTTATCACTTTTAGCCAACCTTATTTTGTTCAAGTGTGTTCATAGCTATGCAGAGAACCAAGTGGAGACAGGAAACAATGGCAATGTCTACCGTCAACCCATATTTGAACATGGAATCTGGATTAGGGACACTGGAATTTGTGAGTGCCGAACTACCATTATGCACTTTGACCCTGGCAAACGGATTTGCAAACGTGTGAAACCTTGGACAATAACCACCTTTGCCACAATGTGTTACCAATATCCAGATCACCAGTGTCTAGCACAGAGTTGTAACGAGTCACTGATTTTTGTGACTCGAGTCGAGTTGAGTCATTTTAAAGAAGTGACTCGAGTCGAGTCGAGTCATTAGGTCAACAAGGTCGAGTCGAGTCGAGTCGAGTCACAGAGTGTGGTCGAGTCGAGTCGAGTCGAGTCAAGTATTTAGCTCGAGTCAATTCGAGTCACAAATATTTGAACACTAAATTACAATAAAAAGCAACAAACACAAGAGAGAAAGAATACAAGGCACCAGTCTATTACGGAAATCCAAAGACATAAAGTATGCTGTATGGTACCCAACCAACAGTTTCCATTGCTAGCTCACGACCCAGATAAGAAGATGTGAAACTTCGGTCTTATAACTGGTTTGGCTTCGGGTCTAGATTTTGTTGTTCGCTGATCGCTGACAATGTTAAAACCTAATTGCATTATACAAAACTGTTTCTGATTATTTAAAGGTGGGCCGGCCCGTCCGTATCCATTTTTTTGTGTGAAATCGGGACATGAATTTAGCCAGCGTTCCACCAAGAACTTCAAAATCGCCCGAAACCAATGATGAAACCACGGATTGAGAAATGCGTTTTAAGTCTGGTTCCCGGTTTAGCATTACATGCTATAGAACCACAAGGTGGGAGTCCGCGACACGGTTTATGTTTGTTGTTTCATTATGGAGGAAGGAAACAGACTGCCGCTGTATATAAACATACATTATTCGCGAACATTAACGTGACGTGAACAAAAACTGGCAACGCGAACGGCGCAGCGTAAGTCATTGCAAATATTTTTCGCAAGTAAGTTTTGCTTTTATTTTGGGACTCGAGTCTTATTAGCCTTCCTCGAGTCAAGTCGAGTCATTCTGATGAGGGACTCGAGTCGAGTCGAGTCATTTGCTCGCAGTGACTCGAGTCGAGTCGAGTCATTTACCCGTCGGGACTCGAGTCGAGTCGAGTCGCCAAAAAATGTGACTCGAGTCGGACTCGAGTCGAGTCATTGACTCGAGTCATTACAACTCTGATGTGTAGGTTTCCTGTACACAGAGTGTCCAAGTGAACCATCGGCCCGTTTGGAAATGAGTACATCAAGGAAAGGCAATGAATCGGATGTCTCAGTTTCCATTGTGAATTGTATACTCAGGTGTTGTTGGTTGCGATGGCGGAGGAAACCATCGAGCTTGTCCGGGCCTTACTCTTACTTTACCACATGGTTTATTGACTTGGCTCTCCCCAGAACCAATTGTTTGCGCGCAGTCAATCGGAAATCACTAGAGCATGAAAAATGGACCACAAGTCGAAAACACACTTTTTTCAACCCACATTTGGACTGACAAAGAGTAATTAAAGTCAAAGGTGTTGTGTGTCAATTTTGTCACTTAAACTTTACTCTTTTATAGGATGTAAAGATCAAGGCCATATGTGCAAAAATAAGAAAGTTATGCCCGTTTGTTGATCTGGCCCCAATAATGCAAGCCCTTTCACCACATGACCAAATGGCACTCAATACCTAAATCTGTGCGTGGATACTTTTGAAGCACTTTTCTTAGATTTGTGTAGTGGTAACACTATCACTACACTACACTACACCGTTGGAACGATCCGAAACACTCTTTCAGCTAGTATATAGTTGATGTATGGGCAGCCAAACATACTAACATGCCAGCTTGCTGAAAAGCAGTGAATAAATCTGTGTTCAAAGTGCTCTGTGTGTCGTTTCCTGGTCGACAAAAGTCGCCCATGGTAAAGAAACGGGGTAAACATAAAACACATACACAGACATCAACAAATCTTTCAGAAATATACGATGTTAGATATTTAACTTTTGGTTCCTGCTCCCCCCCCCCCATGTTCTGACCCATTCCCCTGTCAGCACCCATTTACCTTCACACATGGAAGAATGTTGGTCATGATGATCTGCTCCCTGGAGTCCGGTGCCAAATTCTCACAAAATGCTTTGACTTTATGTGCACTGGCAGCACGAACCTCTGCCTCACAGTCTTTCAGCAAGCTCTGAAATGCTCCCACTAAGTCTTGTTTGGTGATCTCGGGTCCAACAGCTTGCTGAAGCTTCAGGAGTAAACAGAAATAATGGAACTAGATTTTCAGGGTGAAATTTGAACACAGTACACACAATATAAACATATCTTAAGTTATGTGCACATAAACAGATGAATTCAGCAAGTAATTATTTCTGTATTTGTCATGGAATTCTGAATCTAATCCAACTACACGGACTCCACATCAAAGGTGTGTACACTTCACACTCCATTTACTTCAAATTATTGACAGAACAACTATGGAAGTATCCTTTGAGACTAGCTTTCGCACTTTTGATTAAGGATGAAAATCCCTCGTGACTCCATCAGCTTGGTAGACCTGAACTGACAAGGTGCCTATAGCATGTCAGATTTGTTTGTTACCAGATTTGTCAGTAAGACAGAACTCAGAAGTTAGAGGTATTCAGTATTTAATAAATGCTATCCTAGTAAAGTTGCTGCAGATGGCAAGCTAATGTATTGGCTTGAAATGACGCCAGCTACAATTAATGAATTCTTTACTTCAATTTATTGTGTGGTCCAAACGTTACTTTGGATTCCTCTTGGACATTTTCAATAATTTGATAGTGACACATTCTTTGCAACCCAGAGTGTCAACTTGACACTTTTATTTACCCTTTCATCATTGGATATGATGATTGTTCTATCCAGGTATTCAATTGGGACTGGGAATAGACTCTGTGCAAAATAGATAGCGCTTTGAGACCACTTTCAAAAGTACCAGTGGCAGGGATGCACTGGGTGTGTGTACTGGTTCCCATGCTTATAACCCATAGTACGCACAAACAATGTTGGTGCCACTAGCAATGTCTGCAAATGTCCCACTCAGTGTTCATGGAAAGACCCACTAGTCTTAATATGAGAGAATTAAAACAGTGTACAATGACATTGACCCCAAATATCAGCTCACTGTGATAGCTGCAAAGAATGAAACAAATCTGGATGCAAGTAACCCTTACATCGGTGAATTTGTCTGCCACCATGTAGCGTACTCTCCAGGATTTATCCTCTGCACAATTTCGGAGTGTTGGCATGATAAGCGTCTCTGTGTCCTCAGGTGATAATGATGTTGCAATATTCACACAGGCCTCTACAGCCAGTAGACGTACTGAATCCTGTACATTCAAGAACAGATTTGTCATTTCTCAACTGCAATTCAATCATACAATGTGCAGTTTTTTGTTTTACCATGTATTACTGCCACCTCATTTTTTTTGATTGACTAAGACATTTTGTATCAAAAAGTTACATTTCAATTCATTATTTATAAATGCTACACAGAAAGTTGTGATACGGTGCACCTTTACTTCAAGAATAGTTTGATATTTAACACTGAAGCTAATTTAACAAGACTGAACCTGAAAGTTAGATGGCTGGACTATATACATTCTGCTATTAATGCTGGTCCTTGGGTCAAGCACAAATGATTTCCATTAGTTACTACGGTTCTCACTAGGGTATTTCAAGATCATGATTTTGTCACCAGAGACACGACATGGTGTTGTGTGCTGTTGTGCTGCATTTTTGGAACATCGCTCAGTTCTACAAGTTTATGAACGGCAAAGCTCTATTACATTTTTTTTGCAAAAATGATTGTCAGCTGGGTCTTGGTGAATGTCCTTGTTTTGTACACTTGCTGCCCTCCTCAGCATTTGCACCAATGCAACCAAGGTAATCAATGTGTCAGCACCAAAGCACATAGATGGTAGCACAATATGTCTTTACATCATCGAAGATGGCCAAGTAAAAAAGGCAATGAGAAATAATGAAGTAATTACGTGTTTTAACACTAACAGTCCCGAATATCATTTGTCACACACCGTAGGGAGTTAGGGTTTTTAATTAACTTACTTGTTCATCAGCTGCAAGATTGACAAACATTGGGATGACATCTGACTTGAGATAATCTAGCTCTACTGCTTTGGCAAATTCTCCAAGTTTACTTGCTGCAGCTCGTCTGACCATAGGGGTTTCATCAGAGCACAGGTTTCTGAAATGCCTATAGTCCAAACAGAAATAACTGATAAGTTATTCACTACACTTTTAATTTGTTTACAAAAGCTTGAGACAGTTTTGGTATTATTTCTGTATTTTTCACATTCAAGGGTTTAAAACACTCAGTCATCTCTTTAGGATGAAACTATCACACCCTTACCCCCCAAAAGGGCAACATGGGTGAACAGTAAAAGGGGGAAATGAAACATCTTTTATTGTAGTGGGCTGATCTTGAATTCTGTTGACTGTTTTTCTAAATGAAACCAAAAAGGCAGGTAGTGGTTTTTGTTTTTGTTTCCCTAAAAAAAAAATATTTAAAGACTAGATGTAAAATCATGTGCAGATCAAGCTAAAGGGATTTTTGACATTTTCTTATATGAAGGAAAGGACCATATTTATTTAGGAAAGTGTAATGTCACATTGTGAGCAATCATAAATCACCCTTAATCCTGTTCCTCAGACCAACACATACATGTAGGGTGAATAGAAGTGTCCAACACAAAAGTAAGATAAGAAAATCCAAAGTGCATTGTATGTATTCAAATTGTGGTCATTATTTTGTTGGTTTGTTTGTTTTAATTAGCATTTTTTAAATGTTATTTTAATAGTCATTAAAATTTAAAAAAAAAAATACGGTACCACTAAAACATTCCCCCCTCCCCATTTAACTGTTGGAAGGGGTCTCATCACTGTTAAATATGCTCGATATTAAATGATTTTACAGAGGACTACTCAAATTGCAAAATTCCTAAAATCCACTGTTAAATTTCATCCTTTCATAAAGAACCAAATAAGATTAGGAAGAAATGCATCATATTCTTACGTGCGAAGTTCTGCCTTGATGTTACTAGAGCACTTGGCATAACAAACACTGAACAGACCACATGCTGATGTACGGGATGTAAACCAATCACCAGAAGACAATCTCTTGACAAGTGGATAGAAGTGAGCCTCCATGTCAGCTGAAGAGTGTTCCTCAGACAACTTACGAAGGGAATCAACAGCCTTGTCACGAACCACTGTTTCCTCTACAGTCGCAAGGCTTTCCAGAGGTGGCTACCGAGTAAACATCAAGAACAAAACTACAATCAAGCTTTTCAGCTTAAAAGGACTCTTTAGCTTGAGTGCTGCAGCCGAATTGCTGAACCGAACCAAATTCACCGAACCAAACTGAATTGTTCAGTTGGGATGTTCGGAAACACAATGTTTCAGTGTGGGATAGCAGCTCAACAAATCACCATGTCTCTCAGTTAGTTACATGTAGTAGTTAGTAAGTTAGTAACAAACGTTGACATTGTCTATTGTCTATTTTAACCAATTTCAACCAAACTTTGTTGAAAGTATCAGTAGCCCAGCCCCAACATGTCACATGACCAAAATGGGGTCAAAGCAGTGTAGTAGTCGAGTACCAAAATCCGAGTACCAAGTTTTCCGAGTTCATTTAGTGCCGAGTACGGGCCAAGTAAGAGTACACTGTTATGATCTCAGAATAAATATAATTTTTGTTTTGCTTTTATGTTGGAAAGTCATTGTTTGTGATTTAAAAGAGTGAGTGAATGTGCAGAGATCCTGTACAAACAAGCTGAATTTAAAAAAAAACATGTATACCAGAATTTGTATCCTTATGGAGTCATTTCTTTGTTCTCGTGTACTAGTTTGAAAGTGTACTTTCAAAATGCTTGTTCATGTATTTCAATCAGAATTAATTTCCTGGGCAGAAATTCAGACTTAATATCCCTTACATAAAATATTCCAATTTGCGACGGATCAACACACCTTGGAAATTCCTAGTTTTTGAGTGAAATCCATATATATCTATTTCTTGATAACATTGTGGAGACGTATTCACCTATAGAAATTGCCCTGTGCAGGGTTCTCCCTAGGATTTGTTCAAACCTGTGGGGGAAGTTTTGTTGTGATTCACCAACCTGCAAAGCCACAGCGTGGGGTTTGAACATTTTGAACTTTAGAAGCTCTCTGGTGCATTTCAGAGCAAATCTAGGGAGTCTTTAAGGAAGATTTTTCCTTACAATTTAGAGGAGATCTTGTAACATTTTTTGTAATAAAATAAAAAAATAAAAAAATGTATGTATTACATTTACAAGTAACTTTCAAATTAAGAAATTAAGGTGAAAAAAAATCACTTTTACTTCCGATTACATGCCTTTCAAAATAACGTCTGTAGGTTGGAAAAATTATTTCACCAATTTTTTTGGGCTGCTGATTGAATCATGGAGGAATAAAAACACAAGATTGAATGGAGCATATTTAACAAGGAATCATGTATATTTGTGCCAGGACTATTTTCATTTGCACCACGAAAATTATCAAGACTGGCCATCAAAAGTGATTAAAACTTGCCTCACCTAATTGAAAATATATTTGAGGTGGGTGATTCCACCATATGCTTTTAACGTACATCACAGCCGCTAGCACAGCCAACATTCAGTCTTGCCGGCCGTACATCGCGCCGTACACACGGCGCAGTATCAGTGTACATTACTGCACTGTGTACGGCCCATCCCTGTGGCCGAAAATTTTGCACTGCTGCAGAAGCACGCTACGATGTTTCGCCACAAGTTCGAGCTTTGCAATCTCGTCATTTTAATGGAAAATTCATACACAGAAAATAAAGATCACGTTCTGTGAATTAATTCGCAAAAATTCTCTTTCTCCATCGATGCTTGTTTGGTATTTTTACGATCCAACTTCGGCCGATTGCACTAATCATCATCGCATACGCACAATGCAGTAGTCACTGGTTCCTGTCCTTCATCATAGCATTGATACTGTTAGCACGTGAAGGGAACCAGTGTACCATGCTGTATGCGCTATTATTAGCTAGGTGCTGGCTGGCGCAGTGGTCCACGCGACAGACCCATCATCGTGTGCATTTTGATCGCACATGCATCAGAAATACAGGATTTTTGCCAAGATTTTGCATGGTCAAGATGAAATAATGGCATGTGAAACGATTTTGTTGTGCATTTTAATGGCTTGTATAATAATTATATTGTGCATTTCGGGGGCTGAAAAATGTGATCGCATTTTTGTCGGCATATCGGGCCACGTATCGGACCTTTTGGCCCCAAATGCAATAGGCTTCTTGGGACTACCAAGAGCAATCTACAAACCTAATTTGAAGATTAGGCCCAAAAAAAGTCCGGTTTCTGGTATGGAGCTTGTCCAAAAAGTGGTGTTTTTTTTACCTGACTTTTTTGCTTCAAATGTCGGCTGATGACTGCAAATGGTGCCCGACTAAACTTAGTGCAAATATATGGGAGTCCAGAGAGGCCACATAAAGCTTATTCTCGATCATAACCCCATCTAAAAACATGTTAAAATTGTGCAGCAGCAGGATTCCAGTCAAACCAGTGAGTTTGGCAGTTTTGAGACATCATCTTTCATTGAAAAAAAAACCTTTTTCATTTTGCCGACGCGCATGGCTACAGCGACGCGCGCGCATACCAGAAACCGGAGACTTTTTGGGGGGGCCTTATGTAAAGTATTTTTCAAGTTATGGCGGCTGACAAGATTTCTATTGTTTTAGCCACTTTGACCTTGATCATTGACCTTTAGGCCCCAAATGCACAGCTAGACATTTTGCTCGAGCCTCTCACCGGCCGTCGACGTTGTTACATGTCGCCGTGTTTGACATCATTGCCCAGACCCTAGACACGCGGTAAACATTATGACAGTCACACTAGTTCACCGAGGTAATGCTCTACCGTGGGGGAGGTACGCTGTGCATGTATACCGCGTAAAGCGTACAGACTCATTGTATGTTGGACGGTTTCCTTCTTGATTTTCCCATTTTTTGGAAGTATTGTACATCGGCATTAGGCCCTAATTGTTTTCGTAAAGAACATGTACACCACTTTTGTTTATTTTGGGGGCTATTTTTTTATACCTGTTGTGGTGCAAAAAGACCTTATTTCTGACAAAAAAAAATTGATGTTCGAAACCACTGTTTTCAAAACCACACAACGGATATTGTGCACTTCACATTTATTGCATCAACTTGCCCGCACATCAGCCAGTCACGTAAAAATACAAGTGATATCACTATTTTAATATTGACCAATCAGCGCCACAATATTCAAATATTATGATAATTACTCTCCAGTTAGTGGTTGTTGCATTGATATCTGTACGTTTGTCATCGTTTGGACTAGCGAGCACGATGTGAAACTCGGGCCACGTGTTCATAAAACATACGGTGATTGCACTTGAAGTTGGATTTTTGTCGTGAATGGCTGATAGTAGGAGAATTAAGAGATTCATTGGTGCTTTGTGTCCAACGTGCAGCCTGCCGTATGTAGTTTGTTTACTACAAAAGCACGCCACTAAAAAGGCGTTATGTAACTCAAGGTCACTGCGCTGGCTAAAACAGGGAACGTTTTAGCTAAAACGGTTCATATATCGTACTAGGAGATAAACTCGTTCTGGTTTAGAGCTAAACCCTCCCTCCAGATAAATAGCCAGATTTTATAAATTTTTGGAAGAATCACTTTCCCCTTACACGTACTTACCGACGTCAAGTCAAACAATGGATACATACCATAGTTTCAGCACATCTCTTAAATTCACAATGCTTTGCATCTTCTTAAAAAACATTCAAGTATTACTCACCAAAAGTGAATGCACAAATTCTGGTCCACCAACCAATGCCGTAAAATTCCCAAGCTGCTCCGCCAATGCCAGCAATACTTCATCCTCATCATAAATAGTATCTTATTCAAAGAACACAAAATGTAACCAACAATAAGATGGTAATACATACAAATCTTTATTACATTTTTTGGGGAGGGGGGTGTTTGCATTTTGTCTGATTTATTGTTAAAGCCGTTTTGTGTACAGACTCTGTGCATGAACTGAATGGGGCTGTGTGGACTATAACATACATGATTGCCTGGATGGACATGTTGGTTATGCGGTTAGTTGTGAAGATGCTCCCACTCAAAATTACATTGAAATTTAAGCCTCGCGGTGTTTTGATCTTAATCCGAAACACAATTTATGTCTCCAGGGATGAGATTGGTCTATGACAAAAAAACCTGAAAATTTTATGCATGAAGTGCAAACTCCGGTGAGCGCGAAGCCATTACGGCGTGAGGTCCGGGGCCCGGTTAAGGGCCCCAAAAATGTTTTGATTTAAGATGCTCTGTTGTGCAATCTGAGGCGATTACTCGGCACTTTCCTCTGAAATTTCGAAGCAGAATTTGTTTTAATTTTAAGAAGAATTTTCCTCAATGTACTCTTGTTCTAATAAAGTTTCTTCTGTACTCAAAGTTGAGAACCATGCTGTTCTCCCCAGGACTTTTTCAGACCTGTGGGGGAATTTTTGTTGTGATTACAACAACCTGCGAAGCCACGGCCTGGGTTCGGGGCCTCTTAAGGGCCCCGAAAAATTTTGAACTTTAGAAGCTTTCTGGTGCATTTTAGAGCATTTCAGAGGAGATCTTGTAATATTTTTGTAAAAAGAATCAAAATTGTAAACTTAAATCACTTCAGCTTCCCACAACAAGACTTTCAAAATAGCGCCGGTGGTATTGTTGGAAACATTATTTCACCATTTCTATATTTGTAGTAAAGCAAGGAATCGTTTATATTTTGTGCCTGGTATTATTCTCATTTGCGCCACAAAAATTATCAAGACTGGCCATCAAAAGTGATTAAAACTTGCCTCACCTAATTAAAAATATATTTGAGGTGGGTCATTCCACTATTATGCTTAACGTACATCACGGCCGCTAGTGCCGCAAACATTCAGTCTGGCCGGCCGTACATCGTGCCGTATACACGGCGCAGTATCAGTGTGCATTGCTGCACTGTGAACGGCCCATCCCACGTGGCCAAAAATTCTGCATTACTGCAGAAACACGCTACGATGTTTCTCCACAGGTTCGAGTTTTGCAATCTCGTCATTTCAATGGAAAAAACATACACAGAAAACGAAGATCACATTCTGTGCATTAATTTGCAGAAATTCTCTTTTTCCATCGATGTTTGTTTGGTATTTTTAGTTTTACTATTTCTATGATCCAACTTCGGCCGATTATGCACGGAAAACGATGTCAGTACGGGCAGTAGTCACTGGTTCTGGTCCTTCATCATAGCATTGATTCTGTTAGCACGCGAAGGGTACCAGTGTACCATGCTGTACTTAGTTAGTCTGTACACCTAACCAGCGCAACACGTGCATCTCAAGTACCGACACAGGAACTTGACCTAAATAATCACAACCTCGGCCCCGAGCGAAAAATCATATCGCACTAATGGCAACGCATGGTCTTCAACTTCGTTCTCACATTGGGTATTCAATATGTGCGTGTGTTATAAAAGATACATGTATATACGATCAACGAAGTTTATGTCCGTAAGTAAACTTCGGATATTTTGGCAAGCAAAACTCATTATGAATAATTAATTAGCACATTCTACCCCCCTATTTTCTCAACGGATTCACATGATTCACGTTGGTGGACTATTGAGGCCCCAAAAAACGGATTTCCGAGAAAACAAAACGGAGAAATCACATCCCTGTGTCTATAAATTGGAATGTATTTAATTTATTTGACAGATTTTCTTTTGACGAACCTCAATTGAATTGAAAATATCCTGGAGCATTGCTCACGTGTGCCAACCCCGAAAGAGGGCCCACTACCTTGGCTGATGTTAATATCAAACAGAGCATGAAGCAGCTGAAAACGTTTGTGGAACGTCATTGCCGAGGTTTACAGAAATATGTCTGAAACAAATTCGATGTATAGTTAAGATCGTTGAAGGATAATGATTTTGGGTCCTTTCTTGCACATGATTTTTAATCACGTGAATTTACATCTGTCTTGGTTACTCGCTGGTTATTTGAAATGTACAAACAGTAAGCACATGTCCTGCTTGAAGGTACAGCCCTCGCTTGAAAATGATGTTCCAAAGCAACAGACTGAGTGGAAAATGTTCCCAGGTAGCTCATGAAGACTGGTACAACATGTGTACATATTGTGCTGGTACAGTTTATCTCCAGATTTTTGATTTAAAGTTAAACAAAAAAACTTGTGTTATACAAACACAAATGCCCCTGCAACCGTGACTGTTCCCATGACATGATACCACCCTTTTAATATCAGATTTCTTTGGAGCTATCTGGGCCAAATGGAACACTCATTTATATCACCATCGTATTGTTGAAGACAACATTTACTTTTTGTTGTAATTTTCAGAACTGGATGGATTTAAGGGTTAGTATTATATAGCAAATATTGTTACACCGACCTGTTTAAAGTTTTGTGTTCATACATGAAGATGCTTACCTGTTAAAAAAGGAATGAGTTCACTGCGAGTCCTCTCCACTCCAAGAGCCAAAGCTATGGTTGACAGCTTCTTGATGCTATTAAGTCGAAGCTACAAAGCCCCCACCCCCCGAAAAAATTGTTTTAATTAAAAAAAAATAATAAAAACAATAAATACATAAATAAATGGTCAATTTTTTATAAAAGGTCTGAATGCGTGCGCAAGCACAAAATACAACAGTTATTGTAAACAGGTCCTTTAGTGAAACCGGTATATATGCCCCAATGTCACTGTCCTCTGAAGTTACGGTTTTATTTGTTTTCTTTTGCTTTTTTGGCAAATTTGTTTCTTTCAGACTTTCAATAGTTAAATATTACAAAATTATATCACTGAAAACATTCCAAACACTCCGAAACGTATCGTTATAACGCAAAATATAACATTGATGATGAAAAATGTGGCAAAATTGCTTCACCAAGGTTTACCATGCCCACTGGGGTCAACATGCAAATTGAGGTCAACCAGCTAGCGGGATGCAGCGCAAAGCGTGGCATTCCTCTGGTATATGTGACCCGCTCTGCAAAAATGAGTCTGATGTCGCATAATTTGAATTCAAGCTTTTGCCATTTTGAAATGGAAACAGTAAAAATTTGCTCAAAATTTGGATTTTTTGTTTTTGTTTTATTTTGGTTGTTTGATAGTTTTAGTTCAAATATCTTACACAAAAATGTAAATATTGTAAGAAAAAGGAAAAAAATTATGAATCGGTGGTGCTTTTCTTGGTTAGTTACAGTGTATTCGTCATTTTTCAAAGCCCTTTTTCTCCATTGAGACACTTCTAGCTTTGCAAAAACTTTACAGAATGAAACAAGCACAACAATGCAACCAAATGTCCTAGAGAGGTCCATGATATACCAAATGAAAGCTTATTTCATTCCCATTTTATTAATGTAGTTAACTCAAAATGTCAGTTTTGCCACAACAGACTCATTTTTGCGGAGCGGGTCACATATAATAGCCTTAAATCTTATATATAGCTCAGTGGATTTGTCAGAATACTACTGAATTGTGTACTTTTTTCTTAAAAGCACCCAATTTTGTACAGAGTACATGTACCGGTACTTTAACCCTAACTCCTTAGGCATTTTTGCTAGGACGCAACCTCAATCCTGCAAAATCTCTAACTGCCTCCATGTAAAAATTACAAACAGCCTCAATCCCGAAAAATCCTCCTAAAATCCTCCAACTATCACTGTCAATATGTTGAGGCAGAGCCACTGACATCCTGGAGCAGCGCGAAGGATTTCAAGTACTATCTACATCGTAGGCCTAAATTTATAAACAACACAAGGTCTGGCCGTAGACCTTGAAACAGTACATCCTCCAAAAGCAGCCGCACATTTTTGCCATCCTCAATCCTGCAAAATCCTCCATTTTGCAAAGAGGAAGGTTAGGGTTACATTATAAATCTTTATATTTTAATACACTTAATTTTTCAAATTAGGTTTTGCCCTTCACCGACGTATAAACACTGTATACTCAGTGTGTTACCTCCCCAGTGAAAGTTGGAAAAAATCACTCAGGTGGGACTCGAACCCACGACCTCCTGCTTTCTAGGGCAGATGTCTTACACTCGACCATCGAGCTAATGGATCGGTTGGCTGGTTCAAATCTTATGTACTTTATAGCAGCGGGTTCCGTATTAACTATTTATAAGATGGAATTTTTGCATCGGGGTGATGTAAATCAAATTAGATTTTGCCCTTCACCGACGTATAGACAATGTATACTCAGTATGTTACCTCCCGAGTAAAAGTTAGCTTGGTGGTTGAGTAGACCCTGGTTAATAAAAAATACTGCAACTTAAATTTGCGTGGTCCCCCTGGGATGCTGACAGCATTTAACAGTCAGTTACATGTGGTAAGCACACTTTTCAAATCCTAAGCAAAATCAACAATGACATCATTTGACCCCTAGATGACCTTTGACCTCAATTGTGTCAATTAACCTGAAGTTCCCCTACCCAAAGATTATTGTCACCAAGTTTGGTTGAGAGTGAAGTCTGACTTTTCAGATGAGAGCACTAAACAGTTAACCTAACCGAAATAGAACACAGGAACACACGAACATACAGACACACAGAAGGAATACACTATCGCAAGATCCCCCTTTCTTAAAAGCCAGGGGGATAAATGTGGCTATCCTCACGGCAGCCGTAAAGCACTTCTCATCTGCTATTGTTACGACATTGCAAAAAAATACCATCGCAAATCTATATAATATTTATAACTGCCCTACCAGAGTGCTTTGCCTTTGGTAGCTTGATTGGTTAAATGCTTGACTACCATGCCAAAGGTCCTGGGATCAAACCGTGCTATGCCAAACCTTTTCTTTTGGGTCATTCCATATCAAATCACCCCCCAAAATTGCAAATTTTCACCCCTGACACAACCCCCTTTAAATTGGTTCCTATTGATTGTATTGGGGGCAATTCCACGGTAACGGAAGGACGTTTTCACTCATTAAACAAAATTTCAAATGTGTGTATCACAGACACTGTTCATAGTTACAGCAAACAAATGTCACAATTGTATTGCTATAATGCTACTGTCATTTTCCACACTTTTGGGGGGCATGAATGCCTCCCGTTTTTGAATTATGAATATTAATGAGGTCGGTAACGGAAGGACGGTAAAACGGACAAGGGTTTTCCAACTTACTCGCGTTTTGCGTAAACTCTGTGAATTTTATGGGGCAATTATATTTTAAAGGTAAGAAATGGAATCCCTGAAGCTTTATCTATACTATACCGCCTTTCATTTGACTTTAAGTGTTTCGGTAATATAATTACAACGTTTTAAGCAGATTATGATTTGGTAACGGAAGGACGGTAACGGAAGGACAAAAGGTTTACTCAATTACAGCACGAACAAAATGTGAATTTACACTAATTTTACAAGTGAAACAAATTGCTGAAATGTGTAACTGAATTTGAAATCAACAATATGCAGACCTGGCATAAATAATTATACCCAAGAAACTATTGAGATAAAGATAGAAGCCTGCTAATTAATGATAACAAAAGAAAAACGAAAACAACCCAAAACACATAATTCACGAACACATGACAACTACAGAAATGGACTTCAAACCCATCACCTCAATCCTTAAAAGTCTAAATACACAGTTTTTGAGCACTTGAGTATATTGGTTACATGTTCACCAACAACTTTTAATAATAAGACCGGTAGGTTCAGTGGTTTACCTAAAGGGTGGGGGGGGGGGGGGGGGCAACCAGCCTACATGTACATTTAAGGTAAAAACATCTACCGGTAGAACTGATGGCTTCAGTTAGGTGTTGCTTTTAATTGAACTCTAAAATCAATGTTTGAAATCAAAATACAATGATTTAGAGTAGTAACAATTAATTTATAAACATCCAAACTGAAATTGTTAACTTGGGCATAATTTGTCAAAGATTGCACCTCACATGTCCTACACATGTAAATTGAATGAAAGTGCCCCAAAGTACCGGTACTTTCTGCCATCTCATTTTTGACTTAATTTGCTTCTGGAATGGCTTCACAGAATTCGTATCTTTCTCTATTGTCCATGAATGCTGATGGCAGCAACTTTATGATTTGATTTTCTGCAACAACTCCATACATGTACAAGTACTGGTACATCAGCATATATGTACATGTACATTGTACATGTTGTACATGCCTGTGCCTTCCTTTGTAATAAACACCTTGCCCTGCTTATCCTGCTTTTGTGAAGGTGGGTCACATGAATGTCCTTTCAATGCTCATTATACATGCATGTATTTGCAGTGATTTTCATTTTTCAAACATGAGCGCAAATGTCGTAACATTTGATAAAAATACGATTTGTCCTTCCGTTACCGTCCTTCCGTTACCAATTTGGTAACGGAAGGACGTGATTTAATTAATTGTAATTAAAAACCGAGAAGTACAGCAGTGTCAGTTATAATGTCATATTGAAGGCCTACCTAAACCTGCTTTGCACAATAACTTTCAATGCATTCATACGTATATTTTCGGTAACGGAAGGACATTTTCGAAGGCTGAAATATTAGAAGTCACTGAAGCGAAGCAAATTACGCAAAATGTTAAAAACAAGTTTTAGTCGGTTTTTCAAGACCAATACTTTCTCATGACAGAAACTGATGGCATTAGTACATATTTTTGTGTGTGTTTTGGTAGAATACTTTCATATCACTATTAAGGCCGTTTTTTTTTAATTACTTGGATTACGGAATCGCCGCCGGAAATTGTCGATTCTGACTACCCCAAAAAAAAAAAAAAAAAAAAAAAATGTGCCTATCGTACAAAAAACTCTATATTGCGCGCTGTCCAGGCCTGTAAACCATAGTATTAGTACTGGTTTGATCGAACGACATCAGTGTTCTCCAACTTTGTAGAACAAACCTGGCGCCCCGCCATGCTTTCTGCGGCGCCCGCCATGTTTAAGAAGTCCCCGCCAAGCTTTAAAATCCTGCCGCCAGGTTTAATTTTTTTGACTCTACAGTGTACATTTACAACTAAAATAATTGATTTCAGTTGTTTTTCCACACATTAACAATGTGTTTCGATGTCATCCCAGCCCGATCGGGGTTGTCTTAAAATCTCGCTGAATCAATCACATGCACGGTACGGCCGGCCGTGCGAACACCAGCGATTCCCCATGCACTGTACGTACTATACTATTAGGTACGCGCGATGTACAAGTACACACTGACAACTGAATCCCCAGTTCCGGAGTGTGCCGATACTTCAAGTAGCGACAACCCCGCCGCAAAAATATATATCTGTATTAGTACACACACACACCAGCAGGAGTACGTACGGCAGATCTTACGTGCAGCCAACCGACTTTCTTTTTCTCAGTGCTTCCACGCGCGGTACACTATATAATACGCATTGATGTTTTTGTACGAGGAAAACGAGCTCGAGGCCAAAACACGCGTGCACATGGTGTCCGGACGATCATGCCGATTGTCAAAAGTTATAAATGGCGATCGTGTATGGGCCCGGTTCTCAAAGAGAACAAAATCCACTTTTAATTTATTTGACTTACCAAACTAGTTGTCGACATTTAAGAACATACAGGTAGGTCATAAATAGAGGGAAATTTGGGGGAAAAATGACGATGACAACGTCAAAACGCAACATGAAAATAAAGATGACGATCGCACGGCACCGGCACCACCCATAAAATCGCGTTAAAAAAAACGTAATTTGTATCCCATTTTGTTTTTCACAATTACAAAAAGGTGTCATTTGATCTGAGAGAAGTCTGCTTTAGGTTGAAAAGGAGATTTTTGAATGCTAAAAAAATCGGGGGAACTGGCCTGGTCACTCCATGGTCACTATTTCTTTGAAACCGTGGTTTTGAAAATGCAGTGACTGTTCATTCTCGTGCCCGTTTTGTTTCTTCATGTCTCTATGGGCGCCGCCATGTTGGATGATAGGGCGCCCCCATTTTTTTTTTTTTTTTTTTTTTTTCATTTCCCGCTCGCCGCCGGAAATGGGGACCCAAAAATTCCGTAATCCAAGTAATAAAAAAAAAACGGCCTAATCACATTTTTAGGATTAAAACAAGATTATTACATAATCCTATTTTTTGGTACTGAAATGTATAAAAAATAAAATTCCGACTTCAAATCTTGAAAATATAGACTTTTAGCTTTCATTTGATGCCAAATTTGTTTAAGTCACATGTATTTGAATTTTTTGGTGTCATGTCCACTTTGGTGTGGAATTGCCCTTGGGTAATTTAAAATGATAAGTGGTTTGATAGATACCGGTTCCAAAAATAGGCCTCAATTGCCTACACTGTACTGCTCATGTATTGAGTGCTGTGTATAGAGGGTATGCACGGCCGTTTTCCCACAGTAAACTTATATTAGGGCTCACGCACTCGCTGTTTGCTGCCGGTGATCATTTTGTGTACAAAACGAATACGCGCAACATACACATCAAAAAGTCGGATGTTTTCATTCCCCATTTATAAGTTAAAATTTTGAAATATTCCTCGTAATTTATAAAGATAGTTCAATGATGTAATAAACTTACATATTTTCCCATTGTGATTGTGATTTGAGTCGAAATTACACTTGTTTTTGCTGTTTGAAAAGTCTCATTTTAACTCCGAGTACGAAAAATGCTGCGCGCATGACATGTTACGTTCACGGGCCATGCGGCACGCACAGACCGGTCCATGCGTTCAAGATCCACGGCAAGAATTGTCTGCCCTGGTGACTGTGTTTAACTCGGTCTCGACGGTAGTGTAGCATAGCAGACGTCAAGAAACCATACGTCAGTCGAAAGCTTATTGAAAATGTCATTCAACCATCCACGTTCCATGATAATCGGCCTACGCGTTGCAAAGTTACGATTCTTTTTGTTTTTCCCAAAACTTTTTCATCACGAAATACATTGAAAATAATAATGGAACCTTGAAAATTGTAATTAGTGATATCGAAGCTTGAATTGCTTTTTTAAAAACCTTCAAAATATGATTGTATTATGATCGGCAAACACATTGAGCTGTAAGTTTTCAGACTATTTTGCTGTTTTTTTTTCAAAATTTTCGCTGTTTGGGAACAATATAAGGGGTCGGAAAAAATTCCGTACTCGGACGTCACTTTTTTCAATTAATTTTCTAGCGCCAAAAGTTACATCTTTTATGGTTATTCCTCCACTTTCCCTCCTCTACTCTCACCCTCTCCTTTCCTTAATTTCTATTTATTAATCAGTCAGTTACTTCATCGGGATTCGAACCTCTGACGCTTGCTCGATACACGAGACTCTTAACCGCTAGGCCGCGCACGATCGCTGTTGCAATAATCAATCTTTGGACGTATTTGAAGTATCCATTGAAATAAACTAAATATTCATGAGAAAATAAATATTCATAATGACGTATTGCACTATCATTGGCAGGCTCATGCGACGTCATGGTTGTTGATGTCACGTGTATAACATACCGCTGTCTTTCAGCCACTACAATCAGTTTTGACCGGCTGCTTGCTTCAAGTTAGTTCTGCACGACGTATGCATCCAAAATGTGCTCTAAAAACACATTTTGAGTAAATTTTTTTCACCTTTACACAGCTTCCTGGATTTCTCTTGGTTCAAATGACAAGGTGAGGTGACAATTAATATGTTTGGCAGCAGATAAATTGACGTCCGAGTATGGAACTTTTTCCGGCAAATCGGTGGAGCGTTTGTATGGAGGGTAGCCCCATAAATGTGGCCTATTTACTGGACTGCCTCCGTAAACATAGGCCACACGTCCACATGTACAAAAATCGTGTCGACTTTGCCAAATTTGATTTTCACATTTAGGCTTAGTTTGTAGGATTTTTTTGCTTTAGAAGCATACTCACCCACTTTATAGGCTAGTCAGAAAGTGCTGCCTTTTTCAGATGTCTAATTTTTGTGAAATTTCATGTTGAAATTTTGATACGCAAACGTGTAAAAATGAATCTGGAAATTTCACAAAAAATATACATCTGAAAAAGGCAGCACTTTCTGATTAGCCTATAAAGAGGGTGAGTATGCTTCTAAAGCAAAAAAATCCTACAAACTAAGCCTAAATGTGAAAATCAAAATTTGGCAAAGTCGACACGATTTTTGTACATGTGGACGTGTGGCCTATGTTTACGGAGGCAGTCCAGTAAATAGGCCACATTTATGGGGCTATATGGAGGGGTACCCGTAATTCAACGCTCCACTCAGTAGAGCTAGTTTTTATAGGTGATTTTTGAGAAATAAAAAAACATTTTTTACTCTAATTTGCTCAAAACAAAACAGGGGCCCTACACTACACGATCGCCGTACATGTAGTTAGCCTAGGCACCAGTGACCATGGCCACAGTCACATGATTCATGTACTAGGTATAATGTAGGCCTAGGCCTACGTAAAATAAAAAAAATTAGGCTGAGTGATGGAACAACAATTCTAATCCACACTTTAAAGGTCATGCTTTTCTTTACCTGAACATCCTCATTCCTCAGTTCGTCAATTAAAACTGCGATTGGATACAGAGAGTCGTCTCCAGATTCGCTGGAAGCCATTTCGCGCTATGTTGAGCACACTGTTGATGGTCGACTCGAGTGTATTCGTCTAATCTCTGGATGGATTGCGATATGCCGTGGCACAGCGCTGGCACAGCATGCGCATGGATATCGGATATGGATCGGACGGAACTTCATACACACGTACGTGCGTACGTCGTACGTACGTACAAGTGCGCAAGACTAGTTCCCGCCCCGATATATCAACATTTAAAAATGAAGAGGTTGGAAACCAGTCTACGCGGCAACTAAAACGACGGGAAAATGTCCCCTATTCGGGGTATTATAATTAGTCATGTACCCATGAACGAGGAATAGTAGAGACAGTTCCGCCGTTACTGTATAATTTAAAGGAATGTACAACTATGGAGTTATAATTGCTTTTGCAGCAATTTTCAGAAAATAAATGGATTTGGAGGATTAGTATGATATATAACAAATATTGTTAAATTGACTTTCTTCACGTTTCGGTTCGGAGATGCCGGAAAAACCATTGATCTCCATATACACAGACTGGATAGGACATCGCGTACGAACGTGCGTCCGCGCGCGCGTATTTTGAAAAGGGTAAAGAACACAAATTCGCATTTCGAATTGTGTACACTTTCGAATGGAGGATTAAGAAATGAAGTTGGGTTTTCTTCGCTTTCTTTGTCATTTTTGAAAGAATAAAAGAAACAGAGATCTAAATTGATCAAAATCGACGAGGAGTATAGTCAAGGTGTGCTCAGCATTAGATTGCTGGAGTCGGGAAGTAAGGAGCGTTGAAGAATAGGACAATTATTCGCAAGTAAGTTGTTTTTTTTAACGAGGCCTATACAACATGGCATGGAGAAATATGAAAATGGGAATGACAAAGCAAATTATGTCGCTCTGAGTTTGAGGGGACGGGCCTGTGTGGTAGCTAGCGAGATATTCTGTTCAAATTCCATGCGATCTAGGCCTGTCATGCTCAGTGGTCGGCATTATTTTTCTTTAAAAGACATACCTAGGCCTAAACGTGCATGATTGACCCGGCAATGGCAATGAACAAAAGTTGACTTGTTTAAGATAGTTTATTCGAATAACTTTTATATGCAAAATCTGATTGAATTATGTCTGCCTTGGCTTAACGCCTACCGGAATGTTTCTATTCTTTTCTTTATAAAGAGAAACCGAGGAGATGGTTTATGCTAACTTACTGCACAACTGGCCGATTGACCTTCATATCAAACAAAGAACTTCAGCAAAGCCATATAGCAAAACCACCAGCTGCAGGACCGAGCCGGACGAAAATGGAGAACTTCACGGAGGGATGGAATCGACTGTATCATCCACTGAATGGAACATGCGATGTGATATGCATCTGCGCGTTTGACTTAATCAATTTTTACGATGTGGAACTGTTAACATTGATTGATTTTGGTTTTGGAAAGAAGTTGTGGAGTTCAACGCAAGTATTTTTATAAGCTCCCAAGATGACTGTCACATTATTGACAGTTTGTATGGTGAAGAAAGCAATGAGCACTTTAACGGTTTGAAATTATGTTGTGTACGTCGTTATATAAGATTACTAGCTATAGCCATAAACACCGTCATATTCGCTCACAAAAACGATTCCCATTACACTTACAAGTAATTATATTTATTTTCAGAAGTATAGCTAAACATTTAATTGCAAGACCGTGCGTAGCTTGAATTTATTCTTTGACAAAATTATGTAGTACTATTTTGGTTTGTGATTCATCTCCTTTCACAAAATATCACAAAGAGGTAAACGATGTCATTCCCTGATCAATCTAGGGACGGGAAGACATTTTTACTGATTACTTTGTAAAATTAAGGTTTTTTTACCTTTTAGATTGTAATTGGTTTATGTTCAGGTTTTTTAATAAATATATCAATCATTTGAATGAATCTCCATACAATTTCTCGTGTGAGTGTTCAGTTAAAAAAATATGATGTCATTTCGGCATATTATTAATACAATTATTCATTTCATTGATGGAGTAATTCAGTGTGCTCTAATGACCAATGTGCCAAAAATGAAATGGCAATTTACTTACAATCATTTTTGAGAGGAGAAGGGATTTTAAAAAAAATAAGGGAAAAGGAAATGGGGGGTTCTTGAATTTTGAAAATGCATAATAAGAAAGTGTATATCAAGAAAGTGTGGAAAAGCTGTTTGGAGGGTAACTCTTCATCGTTCAGGGTTTTTTTTTAAGATTGTTTTGGAGGAGCGCTTGAACTCCCTCCTGTAAGAAAAATTACACTAAACAATCCATTTTCCAAAGTAAACAAAGTGAAAGCACAATGCGCGTTTACCCGTCTGACAGTAAACGCGCCGCCATTGTTCGGCCGCGCATTCGTGCACAAACACGGCGCGATGTCCTATCCAGTCTGTGTATATGGAGATCAATGGGAAAAACCAAGAAAACTGACATATTCTTGTAGTCTGGTTCCCCGACCCCACTTAATTTTAAGATGATGACACCATGGAGCTGTGTTTATAGCTCCATGATGACACTGACAGAGTAATTTATAGACTTTAGGGAATACGGGCGATTCCCAATAGTGCGCCTCCAAGAGTTTGCAACGCGTTGGCCAATCACAATGCGCAAAATCTGTCGACCCAACGCCCGTTTGGAAAAGGTCGACTGATTTCACGCATTGTGATTGGCCAACGCGCTGCAAACTCTTGGAGGCGCACTATTGGGAATCGCCCGTATTGTAAGGTCAGAGGATCAGTCCAGCCGGCTTGTACCCCTTCATAGGTGTGTACATGTATTGCAAAGAAAATGCGAAAAAAATAAATATCAACAATAAGAAGAAGTTTTTGAAAAAAAGTTTTCTCCAATGGCGGTTCTCTACAGGGGGGGGGGGGGGGGGGGGGGGCGGGGCCTAGGGGGCTTTAGTGCCGCCACCCCCCCAAAAAAAAATTAGTCTAGCCCCCCCCCCCCCCAAAAAATGCACTAGCAAAATGTATGAATGTGACGTACATGCGAACGGTCTCCCCCTAAAATAAATTGTCGTGAGAGAAGGGTGCATTTGTACACTTTCAGTTAATATAGTGTGCCTGATGATTTTACTATTTGCTCGTACCCCCCCCCCCCCCCCCCCCCCCGCCCTGCAAACAGCAGGGCGGGGGGTACGAGCGAAGATTGTACCATAGAATTTATCAGCGCCTCCCACCGGGCACGAGCCCGGCCCCCAAGTCCGACAAAATCTCATCCCCCAACCAAATAAAGGCCAAAGTAAATAAGTACAATGTAAGTACGCATAGGTCCGACGCCCTATAGTAAGTCCGGAAATATCGTTTGTCCGTTGTCGGAAATATGAGGCCAAATCCCTAAATACAATGCCTCATAAATCCGACGCATCATGAGTTCCGAAATTTCGGACTTCTGAGGCGTCGGACTTACGATATACGGCCCCACTCAAACCATTTTGGAGTCGGCGGGATCCCATCAAAATAATTTAATAAAATTGAAATAAATGGGCGCGTTGCCGGATATATTCATCATGACAGGTGTGCAGGAAATGAACACACGGTTGTACTGTCTGAAGGGGCATTTAATCATGGGTTTGTGTTCCTCAAGTTGCGCCATGATCACGTCACACTGTCTTGACTGTAACTAATCGAGGTATGACGCGCCCCGAGTTGATTCGCATGCATCACATGTTGTACATATCCGTACAGAACACGTACGTACGGACAAGTGCGCAGGCCGCCAGGAGAATTATACTCCCCAAAAAGGGTATACAATAATGGCGAGATAATGATAGTGCCGGGTTTCCACAAGGTATATCAGGGTTATCTGCTAGTGGCATGGCGACTATGCATGCCCGCAGAGCATTGCAATGGACCATGAATTAACTTGACAGGAACTTTTTTAGGGGAATAAATGTGTGCTCCGGAGGTTTTTATCACTCTGTTTAATACCGCTTAGAGTCTGGGTGCTGATAATTACCTCCGGCGAGGGTAATTATCAGCACCCAGACTCTAAGCGGTATTAAACAGAGTGATAAATACCGACCGAGCATATATTTATTCCCATTCATAAATACCTTATCCTTAAAAAAAATATCAAATAATTCGTTCAAAAAATCCCGATTTTGTTCAACAAGTTCACTTCATGCTTTTTGAAACATCCCTCTAGCAAAATAATAATAGTGTTCAGCTGGCGAGCAAGATGTAAACAACCCTTTTATGGAGATTGACGCGCGCGTAGCAGTGTTCTGCGCGATGTCACGCAGAACGCACCTGGGGCGTTGCGTTTTGAATTTAGAACTATAAAATTCTGACTCGCTTGTAGTGTTGTGCATGCCTACGCGAGGATTGTGAACGTTCAACCAATGAAACGGTAAGAGGCACTGGATTTTTAGGAGTCCACATTTTATTGTGACACTGGAAAAGTGTTTAGGACCAGCTAGCCACGTCTTTATCATCCGTTTAAGACCGGCCACGTGACGGGCTCTCGACCAATAGGAAAAGCTAAACTGTCTGAGGTATTTATGAATGAATGTCAGATCAGAGGTGGCAGCAAGTCATTTTTTGCAAGTCCAAGTCACGTCACAAGTCATTATTTGCAAGTCCAAGTCAAGTCACAAGTCATTAGGTCCAGTCACAAGTCAAGTCACAAGTCATTAGGTCCAGTCACAAGTCAAGTCACAAGTCATTTGGTCTAAAAACAAGTCAAGTCACAAGTATCTTTGTCCAAGAACACGTCAAGTTGCACATTATTTTGTCCAGCTGTGATAACCTGGCGTGAACTTACGAGTTATTTTGAACATGCCTCCTTAATTCCCCTTTTTCAATGTACGTGTTGCAATTACTATTCTTGTAGTTTATCACATATCTGTCGGATATTAGCCCTTTGTATACTTTAATAAATTTATTTTACATTGTAGAAATAAATGTTGAGATGACCGTGAAAAAAAGAGACTTCCTCACTCGATTACATGTAGTATACTAACACTTTATTGTTCAATTTTCATGTATACTAAACGCCTACCAATGGGTTAGGCTATCCGGTATTTTACATGCAATTGACAAAGGCCTGCTTTCTTTTCATGAAAGGTTCCTTTCAAAGTTTGTTCAACCAATAC